ATCATAACAGTATAATCATAATATAACGTATATTATAATAATGACGTATAGCTGAGCCAGGGCCGTCCTGACGATTTGCGGGGCCCAGGGCAGAGTAAAATTGTGGGGCCTAAAATGTCATTACTCATTGTTGGCAGTGGCATATATTTAATATTATGATAATACATTAATACCTATATACTTAGGTAAGTTTGGCAACGCTCAAATATACTTCAAAATTTATTACCTTGTACTTACAACAATTATTGTTATTTATTTTCTATCAAAAATAGTCAAAATATTGTAAAAATGTTTTAAGCAAAATATTTATATAATTATTTGTTGAAAATGTCCAGGTTCTACAGTCATTCATTTTTGAGTTAACCAAAAAAATAAAATCTTTTTCAAAAATTGGTTTTGTATAAAAGTTACCTCTTTTTTGTTTTTAAAAGTAAATATACTTGAAATTTTTAATTTTTAATTCTCAAAAATACCAAATAATTTCACTTTTCTATCAGTATATATGATGCTGATATCGAATATCGGAGCACTTTTACTACACAAAATGTCGCTTCCAAAACAGAAAAAAAACACACATCATTATAAAATTAATACATTTTTCGCTCTGCTGAGAATTTTATATATTATAAATTAACCTTCCTACGTCTTAAAATATCAAATTTGTCAATAAAAATTTAAATATAAATATACATTTTAGTTAGTCAGCATTTTTTTCTATAGATATTATAGCTAATTTGTTGCCTAGTTTTCAGACAGTGCGCTTCGAAGATAGTTATTTTTATAATTTTCAACTTTGAAAATTTAATTTTAACCATATTAACTCGTTTAAAATGCGATACATTTATTTGACGTCAATTAATATAAGTAGGTTTAGGTAGTAAAAATTACAACAGTTGGAGGTTTAAAAATATATAGGTAAATGATACAATTTTTTTTGCTCATTTACTTGACTTTATTATTGGGTCTATAAAAGCGGGGCCTGTCCAACTATGTCGAAAGCGCGGGGCCCGGGGCAAGGGCCCCGCTCGCCCTGCCCTAAGGACGGCCCTGAGCTGAGCTGAAGAGGATTCGGCCGTGGGTTACGGAGGGATTTGCCAGTGTATTCAAAATGTAAAACGAGTAGATGAAAAATGTTTACTTTGTCGATATTATTTAAACTCACTTTTGGTTTATTATCTGCTGTAGGCATAACGTTTGTACTTGCAGCATTTTATAATAATAATTATAATAATATTACTATGTGTACACAGCGGCGGCAACGTGAGATGCTGTTTTAAACGCCATAGTTGGCCAAAGTGAACAAAATGTTGTTTTCTGCGAAAACTAATACAGTGGAACCTCGATAAGTCGAAATTCAAGGGAAATGCAATTTTTTCGACTTATCAAGGTTTTCGACTTACTAAGGTTTTCGAGTTATCAAGGTTTTAGAAAAAAAATTCGACTTAAAGAGTTTTAAAAATGTATGTATGTATTAAAGTTTTTAATTATTATGTACTTAGTATATATTATGTATAAACAATGTAAAAAAATGTGATTATACAGATTATTTAAATAAAAAAATTATTACAAAAAAATATAATACTTTATAAAAGATAATTTATTATTTTACTTTGACTTAAAATTTGAAATTTACTATTATCAATTGTATTTTCTATTACATTTAAAGCAGAGTACACTTTATCGTCCACATTACTCAATTGTTCGGTGAATGTCCTTAGCAATATGAGGGCTGCTGTTGCTTGCTTCATTGAAACAATGAAGATTAGATAAAATTATCGGAACGGACAAGCCGATTAGATAAATGTTTATAAAATTATCTGTCATTATCTGTCATATTCGGAGCACAGAATGTTCGAGTTATCTATAGTTTTTTTTTCGAGTAATCGAGGTTTTCGCAAGGGGATGGAATTTTTTTCGACTTATCAAGGTTTTCGACTTATCGAGGTTCGACTTATCGAGGTTCCACTGTATTAATATATAACTTTGTGTAATTTTCAGTATAATATCGCACTGAGACAAAAAATATTAAACCTGTTTAACATTATCACTTGCTATTTATATTAAGGTAGATTATAATATCATATATCTCTACACTGAGTCAGGAGTCTACAGGTGGGTCACGGAAAACACTAATGAATTTTAAGAAAAAACTCAAAAAATTGATCTAATCAAAAATATTGTTGTAGTATTTACAAGATTTTGTAATAAATGCAGTTGATGTTTAGAGTAAAACTGCAACATATGGTGGCTCCATATAGTGTATCCATCTCCACGGATACACTATTCAAGACATTTTCTGAAGTTTTGGAACACTCGTGCATACACTATAGCTGCTAAATGCCACGATATGACTGATTGCCGGTTTGGAAAAAACGTCTACCGTGATGTGCCTTATTGAACCATTACGTCATGAAGATATTATTATCTGACTGAAACTGTATATTAGTCTACCAACACAACGGTTACAAACAATATACTGAAGAATAAAATCTGACGCAAACAACCAAATTCGCACAGGGTTCTTAAGAAACCCGTCGTAAAAGGATTACTTTATTACGGATAAAGAGATTATAATGCAAGAAAACATAATATTATAACCATTGTATTATATTGTTATCATCTGCGCCTATATTATATTATGATATGTATAGTTTTCCGTGCAAATATAATTTCGTACAAGTAACTGCGTCACCGCGCACCGCCGGGGCTGATCGTAAAATTCCACGGGATTAATTTTTAAAAGTTACTACCAATTTTCTCCCATCGCCGAAATGAACGGCGCGTCGCTCTTAATTTTCAAGGCTCGAATTATATTAATACGTGTCTGTTACTCGTTGCGATGTTGCGAAGAGTTTGGTCGGCGTGGCACGTGCTTGCTATGCAACGATAATTACATCGCAGTTCAATCCACCCCTCGTCGCGCACTCGTCCGGAACCAACCCCTACCATCACCACCCCCCTGGTACGTTTTTCAATCCATTAGTGTGCACCGTGGTCCGTGGTAGATGGTTAACATTAAGTTTTTTTCCTTCATTTTTTTTTCTTTTTTTTTTTATATATAATAATTACAAAATATATATAATAATATAAAGAAAGGCGTAAACTCGAGTGTTCGCGCCAAACGCCGCCTAAAATCATTAGTTTTACGTAGAACCGAGTCCCGTACAAACATGTCATACCTTAATTTGAACATCGTTCGTGTTACACCTTTTTGTTTTCGTAAGTACGCGTTTCGAGAGAGTAAAAACAGAAAAAGAGCTGCACGTTCAACCGGTATAATATGACGTATTATTATTGTTGGAGAAACGAAGAGTATACCTAAATACCTAATAATAATCATAATAATTATATTATTTTATATAATTATTATGATAGTTGTAGTGGTTAAATCACTACTATAATATTACTGTACTAATTATTATGCTCTAGTATTATATAATACTACCTTTATAACCTAAATAGTGGGTATTATATTAATATTATACTCATTAGTCGTTGTTACTCGTATTTGCATAAGGTCGGGTTCACATTGGCGAGCGACGGGCGACAGCGATGTGCGATCGGTGATGCGCGATGAGCGATGAGCGATAAAGGTGTTTACATCTATTAGCGATTCGCTATAGCGATGTTAAATATTTTATGAAACACAATAAATTTCTCATTTGCCAATATGTCGCCAACAAGTGCAGTTCAGCTGCACATACTTTTAGAAAACCCTGTGTTAAGACATTATTTTTTGAAAAAAAAGAAAAGGCAAGCTGTTCATAATATGAATAAGTGTCGTTCAAAGTTTGGTGAATTTCACCACGTGTACAAAAACTTACGTGAGCATCCAGACCGTTTTTTTAAATTTTTAAGAATGTCTATCGCAACTTTTGATTTTCTGGTGAATAGAATTAAGGGTCGAATTTCAAAAAAAAAGACCAATTTTAAAGAACCAATATCGGCAACAGAACGAACATATGTCACATTAAGGTAAGTGACTAAATTAGTTATTAATGTATAGTGCATACTATAGGTAGGCGTACGCAGAATATTTCAAGGGGGGGGGGGGTCATAATATGCATGAATTGATGACCTTTTTTTTTAGTTATCGTTTCATAATTTAATAAGATACTTTAAAGCCTAAACTTCCTAAGGGAGGTGATATCTCCCAGACACCTACCCTGCGTACGCCACTGGGCTAAAAGTACCTCCATGGCTCTATGATTGCTTTCTAAAGTAGTAAATAGTAAATACTAAACAGATTCGGTTTGAATGTAATATATATGGTGGTAAGGTTTTTTTAAAAATTTTTTTCATATACCTACCCACGTAATTGTTTAGTACCTTCTGTTAAGTTGTTTACACTTTTCATATTAACTAATTACATAAATAATTTTTGTACTTAACTTTTTACTAATACATATACATTGTATTTAAACATGAACGAAATAAAAATAAAAAGTATGTACTTACTCTTTTATTTATATTGAACATTTGATTTAAAAAAAAATGTTTTTTATTGCAGGCTTTCATTTTTAAGTTTGATGAATATTTATTTATGTTTTAAATATTCAAAGATACACTATATTTATATATTTAATTTTTATTTATTTACATTTCAACAGATCTTATGATCCAATTACAATAGTTAATAGTTTTTAGTTCAACATTAACATACAAATAAATCAATCAGCATATGCTCAACCAAGATTAACCACCCACCACTAATATATTGGTGGTGCAGTGCACCAAAAATAGTTTACTCAAACCGGCTCTGAAAGTAAATAATAAACACTATATTTTATATTAATTAACCTTTTAATTAAAAAACAAACTCCATTTATCATTTTAGAATAGGTAAAATTATGTATACATAATACCTGTAAATAAAACTGAACATCATAAAATGTTTTAAATAAACTAAATAAAAACTAAACCAGAACTTATGGTTAGGAAATACTTTAAAATAATAATAAACTAATTATAATAATATAAAATAAGTCTTTGGTTCAAAATTAGTAGCGTTGAATATGATTGGAAGTCAGTTGGAAGTCTTGATTTTCACGTTGCATGTCTTGTGAGCTTGATAATGTAGAAGTTTGAATATTATAACTTTTGCATTGATTTCCTTGTGTTATCAAAGGCATAGGTGGAAGATAATTTTGACTTTCAACTGGTATATTATTTGTAAAAATGGTACTTGGAACTGAATTAGAAGACATAAGTTTTCGCCGATGTGCGTCAATTACTACGCTTTGAATATTATTCCTTACTTCTAATTTTTCTAGAGCATTCAAATCCTTAAAATATGGAAGTAAACTTATCAAAAAATGGTAGTCTGGATCATTGTTAAATTGATTTTCATTTTTTTGTGCATTTTCCAAAATTTTAATTTTTTTTTGTTCCAAAGCCAAAAACGAGTCTATATTCGATTCGTCGATTTTACGAGATTTTTTCATTTTCTTTTTCAAAATATTATTAGCTAAATGTTCATTGTCCAAGGTAGTTGGTGATCTTTCAGAGTATACAACGTGTTCCGAGTTCACATCAACTTCAACATCAGTATCGTCGGCCCAACTTGTACAACTTGTATTTTGTTGTGTGTCATTTTCTAAATCATTATCTAGATCTGGTAGATTTCCCGATGTAGGACTTGGTAACAAAACATCTCTGCAGAATAACATCATTTTGAAAAAAGGCCACTTCGATTTCCATTCGAAGTTGTCATCACCTTTGGCCCCGGAACGATTTATCGGTTCTTTCTGTAATTCTCTTCTAAAAGTGTCTTTACTATTCTTCCATTTAGATTTAGCCATTTCACCTATTATTATTAAAAAAAAAAAATAGGTGACAATTTTTTAAGTAGTAAAAATATTATAATAAAAAAATATTTAAATTTCTTTATAGAAATAGATCCGGGCTTTTGATATTTAATTAAATATAATTTATTAGTATCACTTTTATAATATAGGTAGGTACATTATTATATAATTTATAAGTATTGGCCTCGGAACTTAATGCACTTAATAGGTACTAAATATGCGTATATTATAGAAAAATCTTATTTTTTTCTTACAATTTTAGATTCTGAGCGGATTAATGAATGTATTGATTTTACAATGATGTGTGTGTATCATTTTCTATACACCATAACATTTTAAACATATTTTGACTTATTTTGAGCTGTTTACAAACATTTTTAGTTTCCAATTAGGTATTTTAGTTTTTTTTTTTCTATAAATATCAATAAAATTTTATTTGTTGGGTAAAAAGCTTGAACATTTAATAGAAGGCTCTTAATATATTGTTTCAAAGGCAGATGAAAAATATTAAAAATACAAAGTCACAATATTTTTTTATATGCATATAAAGTTCAAATATTGACAAAATAAATCAAATTTACAATTAAAAATATCTCGTAGTTTAGTTAAAAATTTATGTAATGTTCAACTTTTATAGCTAAGGATTAAAAATTTAAAACAAGATTCCACTTAAATAGGATATAATATATTAATAACTTTATATTCACAATATTATAATCAAATATTTAAGTGTTTTGAATTTTGAAGTTACAGCAAAATAAAAAAGTTGATTTAGTCAAAAACTGGTTAAAACTAGTTATCGTGTTAAGACACTTAACAAAAAATGTAATTAATAAGTTAAAGTATAAGTTAACAATTTATAAAATTTGAATAAAATTGAAAAATATGCTTTTAAACTACAAAATCACTCAGTATGGAAAAATATGCACTATAAACTTTTAATATTTTTTCTAAGTTCCTAGGGTCGTTAAGTTAATTTAAAGCTTACTTAGTAATAAATTTAATAGCCCAAAAAAAAAGTATGCAAATGTAACCACTTCCTCTAGTCCTATTTATAAATAATATATTTTTAGGTATTTGTCAACTGGTCTATCATTTAGAAATATGGCAGTAACTATGAGAATGGGAGTGTCAACAGTGTCTGAAATAGTTCATGAGACATGTAAAGTTATTTGGGAAGAGTTGGTTGAAGAGTTCATGCCAGTCCCCACAGAAGAACAATGGAAAAAAATAGCAACTGATTATTACAAACGGTGGAATTTTCCGAATTGTTTGGGCTCTATTGATGGCAAACATTGTCAAATTAAATGTCCTGCTAATTCCGGTACAAGTCATTTTAATTACTTAAAATATTTTTCGTTGGTGTTACAAGGTGTAGCCGATGCAGAAAAGAAATTTATCACCATTGAGGTAGGGGCAAGAGGTAAACAAAGCGATGGTGGGATATTTGCCTCTTCGTCGTTATTCAAACATTTGGAATCAAATAGTTTAAATATACCACCGAACCAAAATCTACCAGGAACAAACATTGAAGCACCATTTGTGTTTATCGGAGATGAAGCGTATCCGTTAAAATCTTACTTATTAAGACCTTATCCTAGTCGTAATTTGAATCAAATTAAAGAAAATTTTAATAATAGATTATCGGCAGCCAGAAAATGCATAGAATGCGTATTTGGAATAATGAGAGCAAAATGGAGAATTCTAGGAAAAGATATTGAGGTTGATTCAAAGAGAGCTGTAATAATTATAAAATGTATTTGTATTTTACATAATTTGATAAGGACAAAAGATGGGGATAATGATATTGACTATTACCACATAACCCAAAATCAAGGAAGTCATCAAAACGAGACAGAAAATCATTTTGAAGGAAGGAACCCAAATTATTCACAACAAGCAAAAGAAGTGAGAGAAAAATTCGCAAATTTTTTTATAGAACATTAATATACTTAATTAATAAAACATAATAAAATATTTAAATAATAACATACGCATATTTATTATTACCTAGTGACAATATTAGTTTACACTTGTTTTATTTTATATTGTAATTAATATTATTTAAGGATACATTTGTCTACAGTTTAAATCACCAGTTTTTTTTTATCTTTGTTGTACTATATCAGTCAATATAATTATCACTTTAAAAATAACTAGGTATTGTTGTACTATTATTATTTTAGGTCCTCGATAAAAATAACTATTTCGTTTTATTTTATTTCGTTATATTTTTAACTTGTATTTATATTTTATAATTTTATACTTAATAACTTGAACTACAAGTCAAAAATATAATTATCATTTTGTTTACAAGTATGTTCGTGTTCAAATTTGTATTTTTAGTAATGCAAAAATAATATTCTAAAACCAGAAAGTAAAAAAATTAATTATATATAATATGTATAGTTAATATTTTTAATATTATTCATATAAGATACATGTTTTATATACCTACGTAGGTGGAGTAGGTTATGTATTCGAATAATAAAAAATACTAGCTTCTAGCTATTTTATATCTATATATTTTATAAAATACTTAGCAGAAATGTATTGCTAACTGCTAACTAGTTACTTACCTGTCAAACCACAAATTTCACCCACTTCAGCCCATATTTTTTTTGTTTTTTCTGCGTTTTTGTAATCTTTTAGTCTATCATTCCACAAAATTGGTCTCAACTGAACTTCGGAAATTAGATTTTCCCTTTGCGCAGAAGTAAATTTATACTGACTCATTGTGTAAGTTAAATTGTTAAGTTAAGAATAAAAACTAGTTACAACAATTGAACGGTTTCACGTTTCATATGAAAATAAAGTGCATATCGCTCTGAAAATGATGACAAATATTAAACATGATTAATATTGATCGCGTCGCTCGAGCATCGCCGATCGCCGTCGCCCGTCGCCATCGACCAATATAAACACTTCCATTTGGAACTATGTGTTAAATATATTTTAGGAAATTCCTTGTCGCTCATCGCTCGTCGCTGTCGCCCGTCGCTCGCCAATGTGAACCCGACCTAAGTCGCGACCAAACATTGGTAGGTACGACGGATATGACGAGCCCAAAAACGATTTCTCGGCGTAAAATAACGGTGATAATAAAATTATTATAAAAATATTCATTGAAATGCATCACGAACGCCTAGCGTAAACACAATTATACCTATAGTATGTAATTATTTGAAAGCTCTAGTCATATATCTACGCACTGAAAAGCTGATCTCGCACACACAGCTCATCAATTCCAGATTAACGTGCGGATGTGTTGGAGAGCGGTGGCAGCGGTTTTGCAATAATGAGGTCCACTCCGCCGCAGAGATCGAAATATTATGTAACGCACGTGTGGGGCCGACTCTCGTCAATTCGCCCACCCGATCGACCCCACGGCCCCGCCGTCCCGCCCACTAACCGGGGTTCGGAATTTCGAATCACTGTACCGATTGTGCAATATTGTAATATATTATGTTAAATAAGTACCCGCCTGGACCTGTGTGCAAAGCGCATACCGCGGAATCATTTGACCGCAAGGATACCAATACATATACCATGTACCTGTGTAATGTTATTGATATATAATATTCCTCAAACCCGGTGCAGTATTATAATATACGTCGTTGTAGTCGTCATCGTATAGTCGTTGTAGACGTACGCCGACGTCGCTGACGGATGATACCGAATTTAAACGTCCATAGTATTATTATTGGAACACCCACATTATATTATTATCATAATAAATCGCGGTGGGTAGCCGTGTTATCGTTCGTTATTTCGTGCGCATTGTGAAATGTGCAAAACCGATGGTTATATAAGCATTCGAATTCGGCATAATACAACGTCAGTTACAATATTATATATATATATATATTATTATTATTATTACCTACTGCCACCAAAGCCAGAGAATACGGTTTTCCGTGAATATTCCAAGAGACGTGGTTCGAATGTTATTATAACACAATAATAACCCATGCCGTATTTATCTGCGTGCGAATTTCAATTTACAAGTCACGGTAAAACATTCGCTTGTGCGTGCTCGTGTGAGTGCGCATGTGTGAGTATGTGTGTGTGTTCACGCACTTGCACTCCATATATATATATATATATACACAACATGTACCCATACATATGTACACCTATTATTATAATATGTGCGTATGCGAAATTGTTTATTTAAATCAAGATTCAGTAACGGTACACTAAACGTTAGCGCGGCCAGTTCCACCTATACCACCAACCCTCGCAGCACCCTTTCCAACCATTGTGTAATGCTTCGACTTATAAATATATATATATATATAACCGCCCTGACCCGCCACGGACCACTTTCCCGGACGATGATCTCTCACAACATTATGGTCGGTCGCACACGGCGATTTCGACCGGATGTGTGTTAACCATGCAAAATAAAGTGGGGTTTGAGGTAATGGCGTCCACCTGGAACTGTCTCACTCCATCCCTCTCACTCTCTCTTTCTCTCTTTATTTCTCTCTTTCGCTCTCGATCTATTCGCTCTCTTCCATACACACACTCACAAAGTCCACGTCGTTGACTCTTTCTCTCTCTCTCTGTTGTCTCTATTTCATAATACACACACACACAAAGTCCACGTCACTGACTCTCCCTCTCTACCCCCCCCCCCCCATCTCACCAGTCGGTCCTGCACCGTATCGTTGTTTGTCTTTTTTATCCATTGCCTCTTCAGTATATTGGGTTACGCCTGTGTGTGATTTTTTATAAATGGTAAAAAGTTCAAGTGATTTATAGATTCTCGAGGATTTAGAGCTTCTGCATGCTCTGCTGGTAAAGGTGCACCCTTTGAATAGGTTAGGTTAGCTAAATAATACATAATTTAATACGCACCAATTTCCGTACATTTTGCAAATTCAGAATTTTTTCTCTTGTTCTAAATAATAATAATTTCATATAAAGACGAACCACAGATGTGGAGGTAGCAAGGCCTGCTAGATAATACATTTATAAGAGTTATTATT